TAAAATACATTGTTCCTAAAACATATAAGTTTATTAATGCAGAAAAATGCGCTGACAGGTCGAGTTGTGGGTTTATTGCCAACGATATGATGGATCATAAAGGCTTCCCCAAAGAATGGAGTAATATCGTTAGAAAGGGAAGAGACGGATATTTAAGGTTTGACTATTCTATGACTACCCCAATGTTATGCAGTGTTTTGCGATATGCTCTGAATGATTTCGAAGAAATTATGTAAAGATGTGTTCAAAGCAATGAAAAAGGAAATGGCCACCCTGAAAGGGGAAATAACAAAGTTGAAAAAGAAAGTACAAGGTAGTAGCGATAGCGATTAAAATTAATATATGTTGTTATATATGTGTGAGTTCGAAGATCAGTATAAAGTTTGTATGGAATTAATAAAACAAAAAACAGGGAAATATCGGAAACGGTTATATTATTAACTGCTATGAAAGACCTATTACAAAAATTGGAAGAAGAGGAAAAGAAAGTAGAAGCACTAAAGAAGACAAGGAAACGCCCATGTTTCAGTTTTACTACTTTACACTGTTGTCCACTATCATTGTTTTAATAAGTAATAATATTATTAACATATTATCAACTATCTCCTATTTCAAAGCGTTGTTCAAAGTTAATGAAGAACATACTACTAACATCTTTAGCATCGGTGTTTATGAGCAAAATTCACGGCTTTCTGATACATTTCATATAGCGTGCTTTTGTCCACCAATGCGGAATTCTGTTCTAAAAATGCATTGACTTCGTTCATGTTCTTCAGTCTAAAAATAAACAAAGCAGATGCGTTTAGCCTAATGGTCGGGGCCAACACATTATACTTCTGCGTGGGTAAAATGCATGAGATGCCGTTATGGCGACCCCTCGTGAATAACCCGTGTAATAAACTTGAGTATCTTACAAATTTTGAGTCGTCCGCATGGTCATCCACCACAATTAAAATACTGAATAAATCCTGCTGTTTGTTCTTCTTTTGGAAATCAATTACTTTATGTCGGGTTTCAATTATCTTCTTTAATGCAACTGGGTCGTATTCTTCATAATAGAGTTTTTCTTTTTCTGCGTCCACCTTCATCACGTCAGTTATGTATTTCTTAACAGGTGTCCATGTGTCATCCACATGAACACTTGGGTGAAAATGTGTATATCCTCTCGAAAGATCCTCTGTAGATTTTAATATGAGGTTTTGGATCAATACTGTTTTACCACCTGTTGAAGAAGCAACACATAGCATTCGCGCTGGTAATTTGGGCATCATATCAAATTTACTGTTCTTATACTTATCTTCAGGTATGTCTATTGGTTCTACTTTAGGGATATCATCATTCATTATATTTAATAGGAAAATATCGTTATAATTATACAAAAGGATGAAAATTATGATAGTTATGTTGAAACAATAAACGGTTTGGAGGCAATAGAGGAGCAGGTAATAAAAGACACTAAAATGAAACGATGCTGCTATTTATCATTGGAGTTTGTTAAAACAGTTATTATTTGTTTGAGGAATCATAAAAAATCTAAATAGCATAAATGAGCGATATAACTGAAAGCGAAAAGAAAAAGCGCTTTTTCATAAATTCTAAAGGCGTATCTTGTATACCTTGTAATTGTAAAAAGACAATCATATCATAAGGAAACTACAACAACAAAAGAAAAATAACATTATAACAACAAATGTTGTAGAAGATAGACGAAATTTAAAATTTGGTGGGAGGAATGTTAGTCCTGATGAAAACAGGATTTTTTAAAGTGGCAATCAAGTAGGAAGTGTTGAAATATGTGATACTGATTTTGGAAACCATAGTATAACACCTGAGCAATGTGAGCAGAGAAGCGACTGAAAACTCATATTGAAGTCATTAAGAACGACATAGAAAGATTGGAAGTTGAACTGAATGATTTGAAACTGAAAATTAGCAAGAAATGTCTACAATACAAATATGGAGTGTTTATCTCCTAAGAAAGAAAAAGAGGATGTTAGAAAGGATTGGTTAGAGGAACGAAGGAACATAAGAAATATAATGCTAGATTAAGTGCTATTATAGATGAGTTGGAGGATTATTACCATTATGAGGAGTATAAGGCAAGATTTAAATTGTTGTTCGAGTTTTATCAGATAGAAGAATTATTGAAACAGTTTAAAAATACATTTGTATAGTGATTTGACAGGTAGTGCCCCCAGACACCGTACAGTTTGCATTTACCATAAGCATGTCATAAGAACAAAGGTAATGGCTTAATTAGTTCGTCTCGTGCTTTCGGAAGAAGGAGAAGAGAACCTCCATGCAGTCCCCGATAAATGTTCTAATATTAACTAAAATGTCAGAAGATGTACTTTTGGTCTAACCATGTCTAAAGACTAGACTTTTTTGTATGTCAAAATGAAAAGGAGATTATGTAAATCGTGCTGTGCATCAAAGGTTGTTGAAGAGTTCGACGGGTTTAAGACGTGTAATATGTGCCGTAAAGCGAAAAGAAAATGCTATGAGAAGAACAAGAATGAATACAATCAAATAAGGAGAGAGGAGAGAGCAAAGGGAAGCCGATTATGTGAAGAATGCGGGCACAGAAGAAGACACGAAAACTGGGATGCCCATTTTCATTATGCATTACACCCGAACTTAGAATTAAATATATTGATGAAAGGGTATTTTAGAAGGCTGGGAGACTTGAAAACAGAAGGTAGACTAAGCGATGGAATACAAGAGCAAGTTAAGGCGGAATACAGCAAACAAAAATTGGAAATACGCAAACGATTAAACAAACAGTTTCCTAACAAATTTGTTGATGAAGAGGAAAAAGTAGAACCAAAACCCGATCCTGAACAACATAAGCCAGATATAGATACAGTATTCAATCACGTTCATAAGTTGCTAATGAACGTTGAGTTTCTCGAAGATTACATTCTGCTGTTTGGCAAACATAAAGACCGAATAATCATTGAACTTCCTGTTGACGTTGCCCAGCCGAAAGCAATGACGGCAAACACCTGAAAGGCATCATATGCTTCACTATATAGGATAGTGCATTCATAAATATAATGAAGTTATAATCCTCAGGCGATCGCGGATTATAACTTCATTATGGATCTTACTTACAAATCATGAGAAGATGGCCATTTCCATTTAGGTTTATCATAGGGTATCGGGGATGTATGATGGGGAATATGGATTTTCAAAGGGATGGGTAGAGATAGGGGGATGTTCTTATGATTCTTTGGATATTCATAGGGGGGTACACGAATTGTGAAAATTTGGGTGATAATGCGGGGGCTTGACGATACTATAACCTAAATGGAAATGGCCATCGCTAACTGCAACACCGGGCGTCGCGGAAACACCGGGCGTCGCGGAACCACCTACCGGTCACCCACCCTGTAACACCGGGCGTCGCGGAAACAACCACCCTGTAACACCGGGCGTCGCGGAGCCGCCCACCCCGTAACACCAGGCGTCGCGGAAACAACCACCCTGTCACACCGGGCGTCGCGGAAACATCCACCCTGTAACACCGGGCGTCGCGGAAACATCCACCCTGTAGCACCGGGCGTTGCGAAACCAAACACCCTGTAATACCGGGCGTCGCGCAACTATTTACCTAGTTTAGATACTTTGGACAGATTGGTGCAGTACCGGAGGGCCGGACGGAGGATTCGGTTTAGACAGCTTAGATAGTTTGGGCTCCCCGCCCGGCCCCCCAAACCATCCAAACTATCTAAACCTGCCTGCCCGGACTAGCCCAAACCAGCTAAACCAGCTAAACCGGCTAAACCAGCTAAACCATCTAAACCCACCTGGTTTAGACGGTTTAGCTGGTTTAGACAGTTTAGCTGGTTTAGCCGGTTTAGCTGGTTTAGCTGGTTTAGCTGGTTTGGGCTCCCCGCCCGGCCCCCCAAACCATCTAAACTATCTAAACCTGCCTGCCCGGACTAGCCCAAACAAACCAGCTAAACCAGCTAAACCGGCTAAACCAGCTAAACCATCTAAACCCACCTGGTTTAGACGGTTTAGCTGGTTTAGAAGGTTTAGCTGGTTTAGCTGGTTTGGGCTCCCCGCCCGGCCCCCCAAACCATCTAAACTATCTAAACCTGCCTGCCCGGACGAGCCCAAACCAGCTAAACCAGCTAAACCGGCTAAACCATCTAAACCCACCTGGTTTAGCCGGTATAGCTGGTTTAGACGGTTTACCTGGTTTAGCTGGTTTAGCTGGTTTGGGCTCCCCGCCCGGCCCCCCCAAACCATCTAAACTATCTAAACCTGCCTGCCCGGACTAGCCCAAACCAGCTAAACCAGCTAAACCGGCTAAACCAGCTAAACCATCTAAACCCACCTGGTTTAGACGGTTTAGCTGGTTTAGAAGGTTTAGCTGGTTTAGCTGGTTTGGGCTCCCCGCCCGGCCCCCCAAACCATCTAAACTATCTAAACCTGCCTGCCCGGACTAGCCCAAACCAGCTAAACCAGCTAAACCCACCTGGTTTAGACGGTTTAGCTGGTTTAGACGGTTTGGCTGGTTTAGCTGGTTTGGGCTCCCCGCCCGGCCCCCCAAACCATCTAAACGTTTCAGCTAAACCAGCTAAACCGGCTGAACCAGCTAAACCATCTAAACCCACCTGGTTTAGACGGTTGAGCTGGTTTAGACGGTTTAGCTGGTTTAGCTGGTTTGGGCTCCGCGCCCGGCCCCCCAAACCATCTAAACTATCTAGAGTTTCAGGCGCTCTTTTCTGCATCTGATGCTAAAGTAGCACAGGTTAGGAAGCGGGTATTCCGCTAGAACTTTGCGGCCACGGGCGCGGGTGAGGCCGGGTGGGAGAGCGAAAAGCTACGAGATGCATGGTCACACCTTCAACTCTATGTTTGCAGAGTTTCAGGCGCTCTTTTCTGCATCTGATGCTAAAGTAGCACAGGTTAGGAAGCGGGTATTCCGCTAGAACTTTGCGGCCACCCCCACATAGTCCTGGCATATATCTTCCCAATCCGACCATGCATCAAGCGCCGTGAGCCGCGAGGTACCTCCAGGATGAAGGGGGAATGCTGAACTCGTGCCAACGTTCAGCTTTCTCCAAAGTAGCAGCAAATGCACCTGCCCATGCAAAAACATGCTGCTTCACATCATCTGGGAGGCGGGGAAGGAAGGTGAGTGCCGTCACCTCCTGAACGTAGATCTCCATGACCTTTGTTGTTATCCACCGTCCGCGTCTGCGTACGTAGTCTGGGTTTTCTGTAGCATCCATCAGCCAAGTAGCGCCACCAGCCCTTAGTGACCCCATATCGAAGTCCCTGACTTTTGGCACAATGCCCGGTCCCAGCCGCAATGCCAGCATCAGTTTTTGAAAGCGATTGCGGAGCGTGGAGCCTGAGAAGGACCAGAGCTTCTCAGATGGCTCCAGGGAACCAAAAGCCAGTGTGAGGACTCGTAGCAGCTGTGGTTGGTCAACACGCAGAGACTGGTGGCGCGCCGCTCTGAAGCGCGTCTTTGGCTCACGCACCGTCATCAGAAGGTGGCCCATGCCAACCGAGCCGACATCTGCAGGAAAAACCAAGTCAGACCGGACGGCAGCTAGTGCTTCTCCAACTCGAGCCAGGCCGCCCCAGCAGAGACTGAGGATTCCAGCCAGGTCGACCCAACCGTAGATCAGTGCAACAGCAACCGCCGCGGTGAGCACTTGCCATGGCATTGCGGTGTGGTGTACTGGCGGTTCGTCGCGCTGCCAAGAGAAAGCAAGGTCCCAGGCCGGCTGCAGAAGTCTTCGAAGGGAGGGACAATGAGAGGAGAACATGTTGAGAGTCTCGGAGTAGCTGCTGTAAGTTTTGCCAGTCTTGTAAAGATGCTGCCCATAGCATATAAGCACCTCGTTGGCAAAATCTGGGTCGGCGCGAGACCTCATCAGAAACCACTCAAAGGACTGCCCGAAAGTAAGCAGCCACTTCCCAAAAAGCTCCTTCAACTTCTCTCGCCGCAGCTCCGTCGTCCTCTGGACAGGCCTGCCAGTCTTTAGCTCTTTTCCAGCCCGAGAAAGGAGGCGCGCAGCGTCACCCTTTGCAGCTCGCGAGGCATCCATGGCTGAAGCGCGGCCGAGGACAAAGAAGCCAAGACAAGTAGGAGATCGACCAAGCAGACCGACGACGAGGAAGAAAGAGGAGATCGAAAGCGCCGGAGAAGGGCAAGAGCAGGGCCCCTCACCAGGGAAACCAAGGGAACTGTCGAAACCCTGCGTGCGGACAAAAGCCCTGAAGTCAAGGTGGGCATCGATGAGGCCAAGCCCACTGGCAGGCGCAAAAGCAAGGCTCGGGCGCAGAAGAAGGGCGAGTCGAACCCAGGAGGAGGCCCAGCGGCGAAGTCGAGGGCGGCTGGCGTCCTGTTTCACAGCCTCAAAGCACCAAAAGTCTTGCCCTAACCCAATCACGGGCGGCGGTATTTCAGCATCTCGCGTAGGGTGGTCAGCTGGCATCAACCGGGTGGGTGTGTACATACTTCCCGGGTAGAGGCAGCGGCGAGACAGATCATGGAAGCTCGTCTCGTAGCGTGGCGAAGGCTCGAAGACGAGGAGCGGCCCTTCCCGAGAGAGGAGAGGGCAACGAAGGAGTCGCAAAATGCGACAAAGCGGCAGGCACCATGGGTGATCGCAATCTCCTTGTAAAGCCGACAGAGCACAGAGCTTTCAAGGATGTTGATATGGACCGGTCTAGGCCAGGTCCAAACAGAATCGACCTTCCAACGCAAGCCCAGGGCGAGGTCGTTCACAGCTTGCCGTTCCAGGCCTGCAACATCAAGATCAGCGTCCCGGGTGCACGACGCGAGGGAGCGAAGGGCATCCCTGAAAACACGGCCGTAAGCAACGGTCAAGCCAGCGCAGTGCCGAAATCCAAGGGAGGAGGAGCCCGACTTTGGAGGGGCATGCCGAAGACACCCAGGGCAATCCTTACGGAGTGAGCCGCAGTCAAGTCCGAAGGCCAGGCAGGAGAGACTCCGAAGACGGGTATCGCCGAAAGCACAAGCGGACAAATCGACCTGTTCGGCCTTGAAACGAGCCAATACGTCTTGCCAAGCCCGGGAACCAACAGGGGCGGCTTCACGAGGCAGCTCCAGAAGGGCACAGATCCCACGTCGGCAGGCATGGCGGAAGAGGAGAATGCAAAGGCGAAGCGCTTCCTCTTCGTGCAAGTGGGCAGGGACACCACGTCGGGTAGTCTTGGTCTCCGGGTGAGCGCCAAGAACCGCAGGAAGGCCACAGGAGCAGGGCGGCACGAGGTATAGGCCGAGCAGGCGGCCGGCATCCACAAGGTGCATTGCCCACTCGAGAACGACGAGGCGAGGGAGACCACCGTCCGAAGACAGCCGCAGATCGATAAAAGGACCGACCGCGTAACCAAGCCGGGAAAGCTCACCAGAGAGGGCAGGCGGCCCCAAAGACAACTCAAGGAAGTCGAAGTGGTACGCCAGAGGCCTCGGAGCATGCAGCAGGGCCTCGGCAGGCTCCTCAGAAGGATCATGACCAACGTCCTCGTGCAGCGGGTCGCTTCTATGAAGTATGCAAGCGGCCTTGGAAGCAAGCCGAGCGTAGGCCCCCTTGCGATCCGAGCATAACCAAAGGCTCTCAGACAATTCCCTAGGGATCGCAGCCGAAACGTATGCACCCTTATGCTCTGAGGAGTCAGTAGCATAGAGCCGGTCGATATACGGAGCCGACACATCCGTGACAGCAAGAGGGGCAATCAGGGAAATGAGCTGCAGCTCCATAGCGATGCGCCTCGGCAGCGGCACGGTCTTGGGAGAGCTTGGCTCCAAAGAGCTCGCCGGGAAAAGGCTGTACGCATGCTGGAAGCATGCGACGGCAGGCCTTCGAAACAAAGCCACAGAGGTCCAGGCTCCCATCAGGCACGAGTGGAGACAATCACTAGTCGCAGGGAAAGTGCTCAGCTCCAAGGTCAGCTCGGAGAGCGCCAGCCTCTTTGAGGCAGGGGCGGACACAAGAATGTGTCCCCGCGACGCGGCTGCAGGCGTAGAGTTTATCTCGGCCCCGGCTGCTTTTCCCAGCAGCTCGTCACGAAGGTCCTTCTCGGGTGAGCCGATCAGCTCGGAATGCGCATAGCAATTCAGGGCGCGGTCTAAGGCACTGCTGGAGGCAGAAGGCTCACCAAGAAGCAGGCTGCGCCGCCCAGTCCTCGCAACACAGAAGTAATCATTGATCACCAAAGCGTCCCAAACGGGACCGGGGCCAACCGGGTGGCCTCCCAGCAGCCTGGTCTCATCACGCAAAAGCCCAGCCCCAATGAGGAGCTGCTGGTGTCCAGCGACAGCTGGCTCAACCCCTATATGGTCACCCTGAAGGACTGCTCGAAAGCACGGCTGTACTAAGGAGGGCCAAGAACCCAAAGGGGGAGCATCGGCAGGGGTGAGGCCAGGGCTCGAGGTGTAGGAAGGCAGGCACCTAGCACAAAGGCGATCGTATGCAGGAGTTCCTCGGAAGACCTCGGGCCTGAAAGCAGGGTACAACCGATTGGTGACGCATCGGGCCCAAGGTACGCCAATCTGATGGTAAAAATCTCGGCGATCCGAAACAGAGAGGCACAAGCCCTCAGTCCTAGCGTCAGCGCTCAGGGCGCAAAGGACATCGGCCGTGGGCAAGAAGCGCGAGGGCCCTGGCAGTCTGGCCTCAACGGCATTGCGGCCTCTTCGATCTCCAATTTGTCGATCAACCTCAAGGTTTTTATAGGCGTTAAAAACCCGGGTGAATTCGTAGGCTGGCAGCTTAGCTGCAGGCTCCAAGTGCAGCAAGTCGAGCGAAGCCCATTTCAGAGCGAGAGACCGCGTCTCGGGGACCGACTCTCGGTCGGGAAGAGGGTACTCCTCCGGGGCAGGCACCCGTCCGCTCAGCAAAGAAGAAGGCAGAGCGAAGGCCATGGCAAGCTCGGGCGGGAGGAGGTCACCAGGGTCCCAGTTGGCACGGCCGGCCAAACGAAGCCGGCTAGCACAAAGGGAGCGGTAAGGCTCGAGGTGCGGAGAGTCGTTGACCTGAGGAACCTCGATGCCAGCAGGCACGCGTGCATAGGGGTCCCCAAGAGGACCCAGCATCGAAAGCCTCTGAGAGACCTCCGAGAGGCGAGCGAGAAGCGAATTCATCCGACGACCCGTCTCGGCAGGGAAAATCCCGTCCTCGACGTCACCGAAAGTCTGAACCAATCCCCTCAGATAGCGAAGGCAGCGAACCTGGGCAGGATTAGGCGGCCGGGCAAGAAGCCGTAGCGGGACGTATTTGCAGTCGTTGTGAACAAAGTTGACAGCAACCACCACAGCATGAAGTGCAACCTGGCACGCAAGCTTTTGCCTGCGACGCTGGCCAGCATGGCCCAAAGGCTGGAAGGCACCTGGGCAAGGAATCGGCAAAGGTAAAAAGACAGAGGCTGGGGCCGGCTGGCCGCACCAGCGCAGATGCAGAGTTCTCTTGAAAAAAGCCGAGAAAGCCGTCTTGCCGGCTAACAGGCGGGGTGCCAAGGAGAAAGCCCAACGTCTAAAGGACAGGGCGGCAGAAGAAGAAAAGGAGGCACATTGTGACTGCTGCCCGGCTGGGCTGCCGATTGCATCCGGAGGTGGCGGAGCCACGGAAGAGGGCACGACAGAAGTAGCAGGGCAAGGGCCCGACGGGGAAGCCTGCGGAGACAAAGGGCAGGGCACATCCGAAGGGGTTCGTGGTGCTCGTGGTGCAAAGGACGTAGGCTCACAGCCAAGAGGAGGAGGCGGAAGCAAACTCATTGCTGTTGTTGTGGATCTTTCGGGCGTCGCGGGTACCGCGGCCTGCGCTTGGGAGCGGGAGCGCCATCGTCGGAATCGTCGGCGGCATCGGCAGACGGCTGCTTGGGGCTTACAGTGTCCTTTCTCCTTTGAGCCAGGGCGTCGAGCTCCTTCACATAGGAGAGGGCGGTGGATCCCCAGGTGGCCGAAACCAAAGGAGTGAAAGCCCGAAGGCGGCTCGCAGCCCCCTGTGTTCGGGAGGTGTAGACCTGGGGCGCCGGTTCCTCCAGCAGGCAAAGTAAGTAGGCCAGGGACCAGTTGCGATCCTGGGCCGCCTGCTCGGTAGATGCCAAGAGAAGCCCCAAGTGCTCGCGAGCACCATGCACGTCGTCCTGCACAAGGCAGTCTGCGATGAACGCCAACTGATGCATGACGAGGGCCAGGTCGCGGCACTGGCCGTAGCCACCAAACCTTTCCATATATGTCACGAAGCTGAGCTTGCCATCTGCCTTCATCTCGGCTAAGGTCGCCGGCACTGTGGCGGCGGGGTAAAGCCGACGATAGGCATTCTGGCACACTTGAAGGTAAAACGAGCCGGTGCGGGTCATGAGCTCCTGCTGGAGCTTCTCGCGCTTCGCCGAGCCCTTTGTGCTCAGTCCTGCTGTGGCCGCGTTCAGGTCGAGAGCCTCGCCTTGCGAGGCGAGATGCGACACTAGGAGACTCAAGGCCTGACCCTGCTGAGCAATGGCTGTGGCTAGCTGATCCGAGGAGGCTGGCAAGGCAGAGGACTTTGGCGCAGCGGCCGGTGCAGGAGCGGCGGGCGCAGGCGCCGTTTTCGGAGCCAACCCCAAGCGGGCAGGAGGAGGCAGGGCAGCGGCCAGACCTGCAAGTGGGGCAGGCTGAGGAGCAGGCGTCGGGCCGAGCTGTGGGAAGTTCTGCTGATGCGGTGGAGCAGCCGGCGGCTGCGGAGCCGAAGCCTGAGCCGCCTGTCGCTCCGACACGAGCCTCACCTGCTCGACAAGACCGGGCAGCACAGAAGCAAGTTGGTTCACCTGTTCGGCCAGCTGTGCCGTGGTGACGCGTTTGGCACGTGCAGCCCTCTTCGGCTGGGCATCCTCGTGGCCCTCCGAGCCCTCTTGGGCGGTAACATAAGCGAGGCCTGGGGCTTGATCTCCACTCACCCAATCGACAGCGGCTTTCATGAGATCTTCTGGCGCCGGCATCACGTGAGGGGCGGCAGGCTCGAAACCAACAACCAGCCCCGGCTCTGTGACAGGATCGAAAGGGCCCATAAAGGAAAGGAGGGACTCGTCCAAGTCCAGCAGGATCACTTGTATGTCGTAGCCTGCTGCCACATCCTCCCCAAGATCTCCCTCTTCCACTGCCGGCACAGACACCACGACGGAAGGGCCGAAGACCGATAGGGCCTCGCCCGTCGAGAGACTCTGGACATCCTCCAGGAGCGCAGCAAGGAAAGCGCCAGGCCTGCGAAGCAAGGGTAAGAGCAAGTGAAGGGCACGGTCCGGCACGTCGGGCACGGGAGGCCACTTTATAGTGCAGAGTGTACCTGCGCTTTCCCCATCTACCTTTAAAGCCTCTGCGTTCATTGCGATGCAGGGAAGGGAATGCCTGCTGCAATGCAAAAGACGCGTCCCTCAGCAAGCGAGGGGAAGGAATGACAGACGGTGTCAGTACCCTCCAGTGGGCCCACCGCGGCTCGAAGGACACGGAAGGTTGCAAAGCGGGCAGGGCGGTCAAGCCTCTCGCTCGGCAAGACAATGTAGACAGTAGGCCGCAAGCTAAGCACAGGAGTGGGATCAGGAGTGGCCACGGTGCCCTCCAAAACCTCCTTGGCCCACACTCCAGCAGTCCAGGCCCGGTGGGCACGGTCGGCGGCAGTGAAGTGGTTCGCAGGAGCAAACAGTGAGGAGGGCAAGCAGGGAAGCGAGCACGGATGTCAGAACGCCTCTCAGGGCTAGGCAAACCAGGACCACCAACCCTATGGGTGCGGGCCTCGGCTGAGGAAGAACCTCTAGGGGTGGGACTAGGTCTAACCACCACCCAAGGAGACTCAGGCCTCTCTGCCTGATTTTCCACAGACAGACGGAGCCTCTCAAGGGCCCCTTGCACCTCAGCGATGGTCCGGGCCAGGTCGTCGCCCATGCAAAGCGTAAGCCCGGAGACGTAAGTCGGGAGGAGGCCTCAGCACAGGAGACGGTGAGGGCGGTTCAGGAGTCCAGGGAGCAGAAGGCCGCAAAAGAAATCCACGGAGGAGGAAAAGGGTGGTGAGGGCCCCGGCGCAGAAGCCTCCAAAGGCCAAAGAGACGGAGAAACTCAGTGACCCCACACAATGGCCAGGACAGGCCAATCCGAACCAGCCGCTCGAGGACCCTTGGAGAAGGAAAGAGAAGACCGACGACGCAACCTCTCCAAAAAGCATAGAGCGAAAAGCTACGAGATGCATGGTCACACCTTCAACTCTATGTTTGCAAACCTGCCTGCCCGGACTAGCCCAAACCAGCTAAACTATCTAAACCTGCCTGCCCGGACTAGCCCAAACCAGCTAAACCGGCTAAACCGGCTAAACCAGCTAAACCATCTAAACCCACCTGGTTTAGACGGTTTCGCTGGTTTAGACGGTTTAGCTGGTTTAGCTGGTTTAGCTGGTTTGGGCTCCCCGCCCGGCCCCCCAAACCATCTAAACTAACCTGCCTGCCCGGACTGGCCCAAACCAGCTAAACCAGCTAAACCATCTAAACCCACCTGGTTTAGACGGTTTAGCTGGTTTAGCTGGTTTGGGCTCCCCGCCCGGCCCCCCAAACCATCTAAACTATCTAAACCTGCCTGCCCGGACTAGCCCAAACCAGCTAAACCAGCTAAACCGGCTAAACCAGCTAAACCATCTAAACCCACCTGGTTTAGACGGTTTAGCTAGCTGGTTTAGCTGGTTTAGCTGGTTTGGGCTCCCCGCCCGGCCCCCCAAACCATCTAAACAAGCTAAACCGGCTAAACCATCTAAACCCACCTGGTTTAGACGGTTTCGCTGGTTTAGACGGTTTAGCTGGTTTAGCTGGTTTGGGCTCCCCGCCCGGCCCCCCAAACCATCTAAACTATCTAAACCTGCCTGCCCGGACTAGCCCAAACCACTAAACCAGCTAAACCATCTAAACCCACCTGGTTTAGACGGTTTAGCTGGTTTAGACGGTTTAGCTGGTGTGGGCTCCCCGCCCGGCCCCCACCAGCTAAACCATCTAAACCCACCTGGTTTAGACGGTTTAGCTGGTTTAGACGGTTTAGCTGGTTTAGCTGGTTTGGGCTCCCCGCCCGGCCCCCCAAACCATTTAAACTATCTAAACCTGCCTGCCCGGACTAGCCCAAACAAACCAGCTAAACCAGCTAAACCGGCTAAACCAGCTAAACCATCTAAACCCACCTGGTTTAGACGGTTTAGCTGGCTTAGACGGTTTAGCTGGTTTAGCTGGTTTGGGCTCCCCGCCCGGCCCCTCAAACCACCTAAACTATCTAATCCTGCCTGCTCGGACAAACTATCTAAACCTTCCTCCAGCGGACCGAGAGCAACACATTATACAGAAAGGTTCCTCTTACATATATATATATATACATATATATATATATATATATATGGTACCCCTCCGGTACCTCCCTTTTCGGTGTGGTTGCCAATGCTACAGGCTGACACGTATACTGGTTTGGATTGGTACCAGGGTGGGGGGGTGCCCGACAAGCCCTGTCTGTGCCCGCACGCCCTATCTGTACTGACAGTGCTATAAGTAATGACTTCACCGTATTAAAGTAATTAGCCTCTTGGGCCGTCCGCCGTTGTGACTCGTGGTACGTGCTGCCGGGGCCGATTCAAATTGAATCGGCCCGATTCAACTGAATCGGGCCTCGGATTCAAGATTGAAGATTGAAGATCCCTGGGAAACTTCTTCCAGGCATCTTCAATCTTCAATCTTGAATCCGCGGCCCGATTCAATTGAATCGGGCCGATTCAACTTGAATCGGGCCGACTCTGCTCCAAGTGCATTCGCCTAAACATTCCTCTCGCAGTCTCTCTTGGATCACGCCCCCCATTTAGCTTCCTGTGACACTCATGCTGATCATGAACAATGGATTTCCCAAAACAGGAAAAAGGGCAAAAGAGTATACTACTGGGGAACTTAGGTTTAGACAATTACGGCTTATCGGGAGGTGCCCTCCGTACCAGCGTAAAACACTCCAAGTGTGGGCTATAGTATTGCTAAACAACACGCAGAAAAATGTTCGTCTTTTTGGCGAACCTCAGCCTAGCCTCGTATAAACCTTGCCTTAGTAGTAGTTTGGATACCCAGGCTATTCTGACTCATGTTTACCCGATAGAGGCGCCTTGTAGCTCAATCAACACCATAGATATTATGAAAAAATGCTGTGCCGAATAGTAACTCGTGCGCATGTCAACTCCCATACCTACCAGAGATCGGAAATTCGCCCAACTAACATCATAAACGAACCCGGTTGGCACCCCAGATACTAGAGCTCCCTTCAACCGTGATATGTGAGTCTAAGATGGACTTGTTCGCAAACTTAATATCACTTATCCCTACTGCAATTCTTCGTAATGTACCGAATACTGCTCTCAGCAGCGAAGCTTACAATAACTGGGCTTAGGAGAATCCCCTGAAGTCATGGACCCCGAACTTTAAAAGTCATGGCGACCCCAATCTTAGCTAGTTGCTGCATGTATTGGTACAGGTACGCTAGATACGGCCCAAGTACTAACCCCCGTGGTAACCATCAGATTCTACTAATAACAATATGAGCCGTCCAACCATTTTGTTCATAAGCATGAACCTCAACTTTCTCTGGGTGTGGCATGGCTCTATTGATGGCCTGTAGATTTAAGGATGATATTTGTACATGCTTGCGTGACCCAATATACAATGATGGGTCCCTTCTTACTGTAGATGCTCATGTCGGACTTCAACATCAACCCTCGCACTGTCCTTGCCATGAACCCTTATGTCAATGCTGACCCTAATATTAGACCTGATATAGCCTCCAGACTCTCCATCGTGGCCTCAGTGCGACCTATTACTATAACATAACCCCAATGTGTCTCTTATGAACAACCTTAGTCAGAGCTGTGTGATAACCTTGATATCCTGGTCTGTGTTACATCTGCTGGCTTTTTTGACTCCAGAGCTCACGCCTGCGCGAACATGCCACTGCTTCTGCTGCAAATACACATATAGGCAATGTGCACCAGTGTCTCATCTACCCTGCTGCTCTGTCTGCAGCAAATACAGCACTTTCTGGCACATAGGTGACAAATACTGGACAAAGCATGATGCAGCAGACGATTTACATGTAGGTAGCAACGGCTTACTGGCACCCACATGGTGCAGTATTCTTTGCAACCTAGATTCCGAAAGCTTATACCCAAAAGCACACCAACCGGAAAAAGGTAGGTACCGGAGGGGGGGGGTGTTGCATATATCTATATATATATATATATATACTATACATATACTATATACATATGGACCCACACTGTATATGTATACAGTTCGTACTGTTTTGCAAATACCATGTTACATTTCATATACTATATGAGCAGACTAGCTAAATATCTATATATATATATATATATATATATATATATATATATATATAGATATACTACATAAACTATGTATATTTTCGACTAGTACTACAACTTCGACGACGACTGGCACTCCTTGTCTTTCCATCATTTCGGCCTTTTGTCTTTCCTTTCTTCGTTGTTCCTTCCTTCGTTCCTTCCTTCCTTCCTTCCTTCCTTCCCTTCTTCTTTCCTTCGTTCCTTCCTTCCTTCCTTTCTTCTTTCTTTCCTTCCTTCCTTCCTGCGTTCCTTCTTTCTTCCTTCCTTCCTTCTTTCCTTCGTTCCTTCCTTCCTTCTGACCTTCTTTCCTGCCTTCCTTCGTTCCTTCTTCCCCTTCCTTCTTCCTTCCTTCCCTCATTGCCTCCGAAGGGACCCCAGCGAAAAAAAAGGGACCTATAAAAAAAAGGATTGACAAATACTCCCTCCCTACAGTACTAGTACTACTACTACTGCTACTGCTACTGCTACTGCTACTGCTACTGCTACTGCTACTACTACTACTACTACTACTACTACTACTACTTTTGCCTTTGCCTTTGCGTGCACAACCGCTCACGAGCGACCTACTGTATGAAGCCGGCGATGTGTATACATCGGCTCCTCAAGGGAGCGCACTTGGCCCGAAACGTAAACTTCAAATAAAGCTGAGCACATCGCTCAGGAAAGTCCGAGGGGCTATACAAATATGACACCGTGCCGACAGCACCAAGCATGTCATTTGCGCCGTAGGCGAACCGACAGTCCCAAGCCCTACGGCGCCTCAGAGGCTTCAGAGAATAGGAGCAGTTGACGCTCAACGCTGTACATTTACTTTGGAAGCGCAACTACAAGCTAAACCCGACTTACCTCAACTCAGTTGTACCGAAGATAGCTCCGCAAAGACAACGAAGAGCAACGTGGCAGCGACATAAGCGCACGTAAAGAGTCGTGCTGATGAACTCCTGACTGGGCATCATGGCATTTCGAATCACACATTGTTGAGACTTCGCCGGCCAGCATGTCCTGGGTTGCACACAAGTGCATTTATACAGACCTCAGCAAGCAGAATACAGTGCCACGAGGAGCACACTCCTTGTTGAGACGATCGCATCCGTGTCACATTCCTTTTTGGCTGGGCCTTCCCCGGCTGCGCAGAAAGTAACAGGAGAGTGAGAGCAAAAGCCAAGCGCTATGCATCATAATTGGGCTTAAAGCCTAGCTCGTACAGAGTGTCCGTGTCAGCCTCGGTGAGCATGCCAGTATGACGAACATGGAACGCAATGAGAACTATGCGATCCATTGCGATCCCCTCCCCATGGTGCCGTAGCATGTTGAGCGTCCGGGCAAAAGCGAGTCGGCAGATCCGTGGTTAACAGATGCCCCAAGGCTCCATCCGGAGACAGAGCGGTAGTGCCCTGAGCATTCTGAATCCAAATGCCCCCTCCTGTGCACCTGGAGCACGGCAAGACCAAGTTCCACGTTCCTTTGGCGTTAAAGCTGTCTCTGTGCGGCTTGGAGTCAATGTTTCTAGCCAAGGTCAACGAACTGTAACACTACCATTACCACTAGCACTACCACTACCATTACGACTACTACTACTACTACTACTACTACTACTACTACTACTACTACTACTACTGCCACCACTGGATCAGAACCTTAAATGAGCAACTCGAACGCCCAGATATTGTGTCGTTCCTGGATACGTGTGCTGTTGTTTGCGGGGCGGTCGTCCCCGGGGGCGCGTTTTACTTTTTGCTGTCGTTGCGGGGCCGCATTGTTTTTGTTGCTGTGATCCCCAGGGACGCGTTTTTTTTGCTGTCGTTGCGGGGGCGCGTTTTTTGCTTTGCTGTGGTTTCTGGGGGCGCGTTTTTCTTTTTGCTGTCGTTGCGGAGGCGCGTTTTTTTTTGCTGTCGTTGCGGCGGCACGTTTCTTCTTTGCTGTCGTGGCGGGGGGGTGTTTTTTTTGCTGACGTTGGCACCGGGGTTCACTCACTCACTGGCTTCCTGGGTCCGCGCAACGAGAACAAAAAAACATAAAGGCAACTACAGCAAAAATAAACACTGGTTCCGAATCTGGTGTTTCAGAACGAGTGATCGATGCTGATCAAGATGCAGTACGAATACAGTGGTCAACCAATTGGAGTGCAATGTCAACAAGAATGGAAAACACCCTGCTTTAGAGAACCGCCTTGCGCTTCTTGTTGGCATGGAAAAAAGCCATGGCATACGCGGGCGCAAGCACCTCCGGAGTGCTTCAACTTCTGTGCACGGCGGTGTGCATCATGTAGAGAGAACCTCTAACATAAACGACACTGATCAACAGATTGCAGGCTTGCATGCCGTCAGAATGCCTGTCGGAGAACCGGCTGCTGACGGTCGAGCAGCAATGCTCTCCGCACCACCAACGGTGAAAACTTTTGCTGGAATCCACGGTACCCCTGCAAGCGAACGTGTCTGGGATCGAAGAGTTGCTGAACGCAGAGCGCAATGCTTTTGCACCATCCTCTGCATAGATGAAGAATAGTCCAGACAAGACCTCAATGCTTGCCGGCATGTCAAGTGGCTAACGAAAGCTGAAATGCAGCATTGCGGCATACGCACACCAACCTGCAGGTCCCAAACCTGCCGGCACTCCAGGACTTTCTGCAGCAAGCTTGGAGGATTAACCAACACCCCCCTAGCTCGCGGTTGGCCCTTGGGATGCTCTGCCTCCCTGAACAATTATGGCCGTCTTACATGTCTTATGCTGCAAACACTTCAAGTCGATAGGCAAACCTGTATCGACACTTGTCGAAAGCTTTCAGACCTCCTGTGGAAAAGCCAAGACCAACTGCTGACCTCTTTTTGCGATAAATGTGCTCTGGCGAATCTGAACAAGATGGCCTTGGGAGAAGGGTTGCAGCGCAACTGGTACACAGCGACGAACTCCATTCAACCTGCAGTTCGACATGTGAAGCGAGTTGCGAAGCTAATCAATGCTGCTTTTCACGCTAGAACATTGTCAGTTCGTGAAACGGCAAGTTTCGTATCGCATATGCATTGAAAGGGGCTGTCTGCAAATCTTCCAAGCCGTACTCAAACTTACCACTAGTGACATCGCTCGGTGTGTAGCTTATCTATCTCAAGGTTTTGCTTCGAACGCGCTGGTAGCGGATAGTAGGTCGCGGTCACTACTGGCGAGATCACTACCGTGAAGACACATGCGAGACGGGAAGGAAGAAGGAGTGACGGTGAGCCTGTCGTCGGCCTGTGTAAAGTAGCAGTGTGGCACTTCCCCCGATTGATGGCGAAAAACTTTGAGCCGCCCATGTTTGCAACGTTGCAAGGGAGCAGCATAGCCTACGAAGGGGCTGCTAAGCGATGCTGAAGCAATGGCGGACACACTGTTGTGTACCTGCAGAGCCAGACCCTGTGCCAAGATTGACTAGCTGACCATTAAGCAACCATACTGTTTCCAAGAGAAATTGAGTCAAAGCCACTTGGTTGAGCTTGTAAGTGTGTACATGTACAATGTACATGCAAACACATTGCATTCGTATCCAGCTGTGCTTGAGCTCACCCAGGCATGCTAGAGGTACCAGTAGTGCATGCTGCAAATCTGCCATTATGCGGATCGCACTTGTGCAGACAGGGAGCAGCAATAATACCACACCAAGAATTGCCCAGACGGAGCTTGCTGTCGCTCGAACCTGCACCATGCAGTGCGAAGCATCCGAACGGAGGGCGACAGCATGACCTGCTGCGTGATTAGGATGCCGACGGGCTGACTCGAGGTCATTTTCATTGCACCAAAACAACTCTACAATCTGTCATGCTCTTGAGAAAGTACAGCCTGACGACCCGGACAGTGAAGCGAAAAGGATGAAAGTCATCTCACATACGTCCCTGTTGTGTCCAAACAAGCAGCGAGCGGTCGTATGCGGTCAGATTATTGCTGTACCAAATGTTTCCACACATCGCGTAGGTGAGTCCGTGGATCTGCGGATGCCCAGCTTTGAAGTGATAGCAACATGTGCGTGGGTATCGACACTAAGCATGCATAGTGTACGCGAGCTGCAAAACTACTCCGCAAAACCGAAGATGCTCAACTTGTGAGAACCTGTGTTGTTGGTGACACGAGTTCAGGGGAGTGGGCAGATTCTCGTTGTGCGACAATTGCATGACAAAGCCAGCCCTTGCAGCCGTTCTGGTGATCCCAGTTCGGTCTCTCTGGAAGCAACTCTCCGAATCGTCGCGCTCGAAACCCGCAGCAAAAACGGAGCTGGATGAACTTTTGCGCCGATGTTGACAGTTCATGCACACCTGTGGCAAACGGGTCGCTTTGGACCCCTTGCCACAGTGCATGCAGGGTCGCTGCTGGCACCTGGCACTCTCTGGCTCGCCCGTTCACTCAGCTTGCAGCACCCGAACATCCACAGGCCCGATATCCAGGGGACGTGCAAAACTAAGGCTACGACAAACAGACGGCCAGGGTTGAACCGGTCCTGGAGCCGAGACGATTGACCGGACGCCGAGCTCTTTCAAAGCACTGCCTGCGATGCTTTCAAGCCCAGCGTGTCGCACAAGGACCTGACAAAGAGTCTGGTCAAGCCAACTGATATCGAATGACTGCCCTTCGCTTCTTCAGTTTAGATGCGGACAGCACGGCTGGCAGCAGACGTGGAACACCATGAAGACTGTGAAGGCCTTGTCCAGTGATGATGACCTCAACATAGACTATTTCAAACAAAACCGCATGCCTCTGCACATATCCATTGTTGCAATGACCACCAAATGGCTTCTACCTCTTGGTTGTCCCGACCAAATGATCCCGGGCACAAAATCGATGAAAAGAAGCCCGCGACAGAAGCATTGCACCTTGCAGGCAGCCGGAGATTCAGTACGCATGTCGGCAGGCCGAATCTGCCCGAGTGCGGCACTAACAGCAGCCACAGCCACTGCAGCAGAACAAGGACCTCACAGCTTCGCTAATTGGAATCATGTGATCTACAGCCGGCAAGAGCGCAGAGAGCCAGGGCAAAGTCCGAGTTGGTGCAAATCTAGCGTCCATGGATCCTGCAGCATGAACGTTCTACGTCAGGACACGGCAACACTGCAAAGACAGGCCTTGCGATCGGCGGACATCAGACAGCACTCGGCTGTCACAAGATGCAGAAACCCGAAGCGCCAATGACTGGGTGACCAGAATACAGCGATACTCAGACTCATACACGGAGATACACTTCAGGCATCCTACGTCCTACGCTAGCAACCAATACAGTAGCATGCTGCATAAAGTGTCCACCTGTCAGTGCAGGCAGCGCCTGCAACCGTGATTTCAAGGGGAAGGGGCACCAGAGCACATGTTTGGGTGGGCACACGAACATTGGCCGCAACTCGGTCAACCTTCTAAATCGACCTCTGCTGAAATCAAGATCGCAACTCATGAGCGCCAGAACCCATTCCATCCGATGAGCATCATGTGCACACACACACGACCTGTATAAATTGAAACAAATCCGCAGTGAACTGGAAGGTCCTCCCACAAATTCAATACGCCATCCTGGCAAGGGGACAAGTATCGCAAGTGCAACACTTGCAGACCACCACTTGCTGCCTCGTGTGCCGCCAGCAGAACGCTCCACGCATCTGGATGCCGTCCTGCTGCCAGCAATACATCGACGATGGTAACAATCATCTCCAACCTCGGCGCAGAGTGCACATATGTGCACATGTGTGCAAAATTTGTCAGCTACAAGCGCAAGAGCATGGCCAGCACAGTACCGGCTCCGGCCGATTCGGGGGGTGGGGGGCGAAGACCGAAAGGGGAAGCTATTGGACCTTTTTGTGCAATCTTGCGATCCTGGCGGTGTTATGCCACCACCACCCAAAACCCAACACCAAGACCACTACTACGACTACCACTGACAATCATAACGATGCCTTTGATTCTAATTATAAGGTTGCTGCTGGCCGGAATATGGCCAAGCATGAATTTCATTGATGCCGCTTTTACTACGACTTTGAGCGGTCTCACTTGGTCACGCAAACGTGACTGCTTCTGTTTCGATTTCAACTTGTTTGAGATGTTGGTCAATCATTAAAGGGTAGCAGGAGCAGTAGTGGATGCAAATCCGAGGCTCTTCTTGTTGGTCTTCTGACCGAAACTGCCAACACTGGCAAGCCTGGACGCTGGAAAAGTAACACAAAAATTGTCTTTACCTGCTTTTGCGCCTGCCCTGTCGAATGCTTGCACATCTCCAAGGCTTCTTCAATGGAGACAAGCATATAAATCGCATGTATGGTAGTCAGTCAAGCGCAAGGAGTTTAGATCAGCCCATTAGTACAGATCCGACCACCAAAATACAAAACTTTAGCTAGATTAGCGAGGAGCAATTCTACGCATGAGGCTAGCATTGAGAAACTTATATACCACTTTTTCTTGCGGGTGAGGGATCAAAAAAATTCAAAAAAGGATCAAAAAATTTTAATGGCAGGATCAAAAATAATAAAATAAGGATCAAAAGAAGTAAATCATGTAAAATCCAGCAGTTCCTGGGGCAGAGGCAGCAAAAAACATTGAAACATTTTGAATACAGCAATTCCTGAGTTTTTCGAAGGGGAAACACTATTTTCTGACGGATTCTCTTTCATTTCCTTAGGATTTGCTTGGTTTTTCCTCTGGAAAACACGATTTTCCTACGGAGCCCGTGCTATTTCCTTAAATTGTCCTTGGTTTTTCCTAGGAAAAACACTATTTCCCTATTACCTACCTTGGTTATTCCTCGGGAAAATCAAATTTTCCTTACAATTTCGCATTTAGGACGGACTTCGTGTTGTAATTGTTGCTGGTAGTGTTGTTGTTGTTGTCGTTGTGGTTGTAGCGGTAATAAGTTGTAGTTGTAGTTGTAGTAATAGTAGTAGTAGTAGTAGTAGTAGTAGTAGTAGTAGTAGTAGTAGTAGTAGTAGTAGTAGTAGTAGTAGTAGTATTAATAATAAGAATAATAATAATAATAGAAGTAGTAGAAGTAGTAGAAGTAGTAGAAGTAGAAGTAGAAGTAGAAGTAGAAGTAGAAGTAGAAGTAGAAGTAGTAGTAGTAGTAGTAGTAGTAGTAGTAGTAGTAGTAGTAGTAATAGTAGTAGAAGAAGAAGTAGTAATAGCAGCAGTAGTAGTCATAGTAGTAGTAGTAGTAGTAATAATAATAATAGTAGTAGTAGTTGTTGTAGTAGTAGTAGTGGTAGTGGTCCTTCATATGTCTAGAACACGCCTTCTCATTTGGCGTTTCCTGTTCATAATACATCTTAAACACGCTCCTTCATTTGGCGATTCCGGTTCCTCATATATCTTAAACACGCCTCCTCGTTTGGCGATGCCGGCTCATCATCCTATATCTTAAATCAAGGCCGATTCCGCTTCATCATCTATCTTAAACACGCCCCCTCATTTGGCGATTCTGGTTCAGCATGTATCTACAACGGCGGAGCCCCCGCCCATTTGCAAACACAATGCTCGTGTGATGGGCTTCAAAAAGAAGCAATATGCTTCAAAGCAACCCTGCACGGCTTAAAACAGCGGGGGGGTTGGGCACCCGCATTTATGGAAAAGGACAATCACGTCCCTTCGGCCCACCAGCTGGGAGTCAAGCTCGGCAATCGCCCGGGGCACGTTGCCATAGGCCTCGGCGCTCAAGGTAAGTAAGCAGCTGGATCCATGTGTCGCCCGGCTTCGGCTTCCGCTTTGCCTCGTCGGCCCGGACAAACGCAACCAAGAAGGGCCAATCCTCCTCCGACCAGATAAGCTTCTCCAAGTCCAGCTCCTCGACGCCATTGGCCACCAAAACCGGCAGGCCATTGCCTAAGATGTGCCAGCCAGGTTTGTCAGCCAGCTCGGCCAGCACGGGAGGAAGGGGCCCAACATCATCGAAAGTCGGAAGGGCCTGGACCTTGGCTGGGGCCGCCGCACAACTGCCGTGGTTGCCGACGCCATTGCCATCATAGTCTGGGTGTTCCTCCTCAACCTCACCGGGATTCGGTTCCCGTGCTGCTCTATGTGCGGCTGGCCTCCGCAAGTACCAAGGCACCACCCCTGTCTGAGGAGACGCCCCAGGGAGACGATCACCGCCTCGATCTTTGCAATCGCGAACTTCTCCCTGATCGTCACCTTGCCGCCGTCGACGGTGGTAACGTCCAAGTCCAGCACCCGGCTCCCATGCTGAGCTATGCGGTGGCCCTGGGCGTCCTGCATGATGACACTGCTTCCCGGGCTGCGGTCCCTAAGCTGCCAAAACGCAGCGGAGCCACAAATAACCACATCCAGCTCCACTCCGGCCCGCTGGGCCCTGACTGCCCTCACTTGGTCCGGCTCGACCTCAGCCAAGCCCGGCTCAAAGCACCAGCTGCCATCGCCGTCCGTTGCGTCCATGTGGAAGACCGAGACCCCGTGCCCATACAGCCTCGTTCTGGTAGCTCTGGGTCGCACCGCCGGGGAGCCACAGATCCTCGTAGGCGTCCAGGGGGCATTCCGCAAAGATGGCCATGACCTCGGCACATCATCGTCTAGCTCGCTTATATCATAGACCTGGGTGACTCGGCACCCAGGGGAACGCCTCAACCATGTTGACTGTGCCGCGGTACTGCGAGGCAGAGGGCAAAGTGGTAGAATCCGTCGTCAAGGTGGACGCCGCCGATCTCGCGGCCGGCGCCGGCGTCTCCACCTGGTTCACCTTGCCTTTGTTCTTGCCCTTTGTGGGGCACTCCCACTTCCAGTGGCCTCGCTGCCCGCACAAGTTGCAGGCATCAGGCTCTTTGCCGGCTCCTCCTTTGGCCTTGCCCTGGCCCTTGCTGTTCCATCCTCCGCCTTGCTGCCAGGAGCCGGATCCCCAGCCATTGCTGTACCACTGTTTGCCGCCATGGTTGCTCCAGCTGCTCTGGTTGCCCCAGTTGCCTTTTCCGTCGCCGGGTCTGCCCTTCGTGTCCTTCCCCTTTCCTTTGCCATCTTTCCCCTTCTTCCCTTTGTCTTTGCCCTTCTTGCCTTTGTCCTTGCCCTTGCCCTTGATGACGTCCACGTCCATGGGCTGGGGCACGTCTTGCGTCGAAGGGCTTCCTTTTCCCTGGCCTGGCACAGCAAAGCCCCACGGTGTCGTAAGGCTGTCGTACTGATTCATCCACTCCCTCACGTTGGCATACTTTGTGTCGTTTGACATCTTCAGCTGCACCTGGCTCCGCAGCGGTTCCCTCAGCCCAGTCACCAATGTCGCCAGAACCACGTCCTCCGGGAAAGGCTTCCCACTGGAAGCCTCATAAGTTCTCAAGGCCTCTTCATACCTGACTAGCTGCTCGTGCATGGTGGTCCTTTCGTCGAACCTCCAAGAAGCCAGCTGCCTCAAGAGGGCAAGTGTTCTTGCCTTCTCCCTGGGTTCCATCTCGTTCTTTAGGATACGAATTGCTTCGTACCCCGCCTTCGTTTTCTCGCACGGCCTGATCAGCATGAGGGGCCTTCCCCGCAAGAGCGAGCAGAGAAGCCCATAAAGCCGCTGGCTGCGGGCCACCTGCTCGGCCGGCATCAAGGCGTGCGTCGCCTCATTCTCCAGATCAAGGTCGTTGAGCTCCGTCTCGTAGTCCGGGTCGTGGCTCGAAATAAAATTTGTAAAGCCGAAATACCACTCTCTCCAGGTCTTCAGCTCCTCTTCCCGGCTCTGGGCCTTCCATTGGTCGCACTTCAGCCCCTTCACCAGGTTGTCGCTCCTCACCGCACTTGCTTGCTTCTCTGCCGCCGCCGCTGCACGCAGCCAGTTGAGACCAGCCGCTCCTCAAGCCACCACCTTTTGCGAACAACCTCTCCCCCAAGGAGGCTTACGCTGAAGAAAAGGTTGGCCGATTGAACGGCAGCAACCGCCGATGGGCAGATCGAACTGCAGCCAGCAGCAAGGCACAGAAAAAGAATCGGGTGAAACTTAAAAGGCCTTCCGAGGCTCGGGCCTATCTCCCTAGGTCCCTTGGAGCCCGGAGGCTCCGCTACCATGCAAAACGGTCTTTTGAACCACTTCAAGGGCTTCGGTTGGATAGTGCGAATGGTCCACACAAGCGGTCACAATTCTTGCAATGTTTGCACCCTTGATAATAATATGAATCAAGACTATGTTAAGCATCTTTTAGAAAGAAAAAGATTACCGATTACCTATACCACTTATCTTACTCAACCAAAAACAGTACAAGGATAAACCGATATTAGCATTCAAGCTATTCGCTCAGCATCTCAATTAGTTCCTACATTCCTTACATTTTATAAACAAGGACCCAAGCGAGGGCTATGAATATGCCGGCAAAGAATTTTGCAGATTTTGTCATCCAGATCAATCGCACGAGCCATTATATGTTAATAAAGATTAAGACTTTCAAGTTCAACTGGGTTCCAAATTGATGCCTGAATATCCTTCTCAATCCATTACAGCAGCATGTTATCATTTACGAAAAAGGGCTTAATCTGCCTATGTTTCATCAGCACTCAATGGCGTTTAATTTTAAGCAGTATCGCGACCGGAAGTTTGTATTCGGTTTTTCAATGGAGAGAGTGCCTGATAGGTCTTCTACTGGAATCAATACAAGAGCGGGTCAAATGATGCAAATTAGAATAAAGCCAACTATTGCTTCCATCCCTGCTACTGATATGCCCGACCAGATATGTACAACATTACTGTCAGAAAAAATATTGGGGATTAAAGATCTAGTTTTGAAAGTGTATGACTCAACATTTTAATCTAATTACCTAAATTATCTTAATAATGCCTTAACATCAAACAATACAAATACTTTAACCGCAGATAGTATTGTAATTGGTGGAACTGATATATCTCAACGATATGCTACTAAAGCTGAAGTAGGAAACAACACCCAAACAACCGCCAATACCGACGAAATAGCAATATTGAACACAAAATTTACAAAATTTGAAAAATATTAATGCTATGACTGCTGACCTGACTAACAATTACCAAACTAGCAGTCAGTTAAGTAGCAATCTTTATAACAAAACAGAGACAGATACGAATTTACCTACTAATTATCAAAATAAGACATTATTGGCTACAAACTTTTGTAATAAAGGGGAGGTGGATACATTAATAACAGGTGCAGGTGGAGGCGGTGGTGGATACACTGACACAGAAATTGATAGTTTATTAGTGGTAAGAGTAAATCAGATTTTACTGCTAGATTGTGTGCATTCCCGGTTATTGATTGTAGCGCTCTTACGATTATTCATAATGGATTGACATTAAATTACGAGACAATAAACACATCACCTAATGGTGGTTCAATATTTGGTCATCAACTTGGCGGAGGAGATACAGTTGTATCGGTATTCAAAAATGCTAAAAACATTATAACTTTACAAGGGAAGAAAATCATATCAAATGCTACATTTGATGATAGTGTTGTTGTGGATGTAAAACCAAATCCATCATGACATGTGGGAAAAACTAATGATTTATCCGTTTCTAATTTAACAGCGGATGCAGTTAATGTAACAAATAATGTTGATTTTGGTAGTAATGCTGAACTAACTGACACTAATACAAGTACAGTAAGATACAATAACGCTACTAAATCAAATGTATCAATGGATTTAAATTTAAGAACAGACCAAGCAATAGAGCATAAGACCCTACAACATCTTCTATCGCATTACAATTCAACGACAATCCAGCGGGAATTCCGATGAAAAGTTAAGCTACAAATAATTCAACCTTTAACAGCGTTGGTAATACAACTGCGGAAGCAATTTTAGATGTATGGTGAGAACCATTGTTTCAACACTCACCGGGAATCAAAGAAACATTGAATGGTAGTGATTATGATTCAGATATAAGACATGGAGACACGGATAGAGCAATTAACTTAATAGTTGGAACGATAGGAAGCACACCAGAACTTCAATTAACACAGGGAAAGTAGATTTACTTGGTAATACACATGTCAGGTAGTCAGAGAGTATTAGCAACTTATCAAGATTGGACGCAACAAATACAGGCGTTGATGTTTGTGGTTTGTTTGCTACGACAAATAACGCAGATATAACGGAACATTGACATGTGTTGCTTGAACTGAAAGATCAGACGCTAAACTAAAAGAGAACGTTCAAGAGGTTATCATGAAAGAATGTTATGAAGCAGAAGTATATCAAACCGAAAACATATAATCTTCTTAAAGATGAAAACAAGACAAGTAATATTGGATTTATAGCAGTCGACAAGGATTCGCAGGGTGAGGATTTCCGTGCCCACCACGGAAAAGACGTGACAGATTGCCCTCAAGGGGGCAGGTCGGGCAACAACTGAACAGACCGGCGGCAGGCGCATATGAAGAGTGTTAATCAAGCGTCCGATCTGATGTTAGCCATGGGCCACTGCCGACATGTCTAGCTGGAGTTGAAATCAAAACTATGGTGTGAAGGCAAAGGGGCTACTCAATCGGTTGTTCCCAGCCCCGCACGTTTGGAGTGGCGCCCGGACGTCGACTGCCTGAGGTCACAGCGAGGGTTGGGACATGCTAACATTTCATTTCAATCCTCCTCCCTCTCAGCCTGCATCTCGAAAAACGAAAGAGCAGTTTCCCAGTGAAGAACACTCAACCTGGAAGTTTCAGGCGAACGCACGAAAAGCTCCTTATGCTCAGCCCAGGCCCAGGGGCCGAGCCATTCACAAACGAAGGAGGATATATGCAAAGGCACAGACAGCCCCCACGCCTTCAGTCAGACGCTGTGCTCAGTTCATGCGTCCTGTCAGAAGTTTGCCTCATTCAGCAGCATTTGCTCGATGTCGTTCCGGCCAGCCTAGAAATTACTGGTCGAAGCGGATCACGCGCTGTCTTTTGAAGGGTGCAGAACTTCGCGCTTAGATGATAGGCCAGTGCCTCAGCAGATGCCTTGGACACGATCCCGTACTGTATGATCACGTCACTGCCTCAGGTTTCCGGCCCTTCGACAACTGCATTGACCCCAACAGCAAAGCTGTTGGCCGAGGTGCAGGGAGCATCCTGCATCTGTTTGAGCTCTCGCAAATGCTCCAGCGCATGCGCCCAAAGTTGCGCATAAGCACAAGCCCCGATAACTGCCTTTCAGGTCTGCGGGCCGGCATGTGGGTGAGGGGCAAGCGAGCCCGGACATGCCTTGTAGGTGGGCAGCGTTGGCAAGTAATTCTTCTGACACAGGTCGGAGAAGATCCTGTGTCAAGTTGCATTAAGCTTGTGAGGTCAGCTGTTTTGCCAGCAGCTTGGCTCCTCTGCGCCTCTTGCCATCGGCTGGCTTCTCGACAAACGCCGATCGTAGCATTGAAGGAAGCTATGTCCGAAGCCGACGATAGTTGCTCCTCTCTCGTGTGATCGTGTGAATGCCTCTGGTCGGGCTCAGCTCAAAGCCACGAACCTGGTGCAGGTAGGTGGCCAGCTGCCAGAGAGCACTGGGACCGCCTCGCTCTCGCTGGCGTCCGTGTAAACCAAGGCATCGGTCACGGCAGCATTCGGGTGCTGACATGCAGAGATCATGGAGGTGTAGCAGAAAACATCAGGTTCCTCTGACCTCTTGCACAATGCTCCCACACATGTGCCGTCGGCCGATAGTTCACACAGTTCGAAAAGCCGATCCTTTTCAGCATTTCCTTGAAGATACCCAGCGCTGCATGCAGCTGCTCGGCCTGGCATGTTCTTGCGTGATCCGTCTTGACGACACCTTGCTTCTGTTTGCTGCTTCCGAACTCGACAGGCCTTGCGGCAAGCGTTGATGCACAGATTTAGCACGATCCCACCAGGCTCCAATCTTGGCATGAAATCACCATGCCGCAACATGCTACGTGGAAACCTGAGGCGAACTGCCGCCTGCTGTTGAACTTTGTGCAGTAAACTTCGGCTATCAATGGATCTCTTCCTCCTGCCTTCAACATCAAATGACCCGATAGTCACAGACCAGGACGCGTGAACAGTTGCTCATGGATCCGCAAATCTGAGATGTAAGTAGATTCCAGGTAGAGATAAAGGCAGTCGAAACACACACAGTCCCAGGCAGGGCCAATTCAAGCAGGTATGTTTTCCTGCAATATGGGCTGGGAGAAAGCTTCGGTGGACCTCCTCTCACCCCTTGTGTACATCAAATAATAGAGCAGGTTCCACGACACATAGCCAGGAAATTCCGGCGTACGAACAGTCTGCTTGCAGCAGGGAGCATGTCCGCTTGCAGACAACACACAACGAATGATGACGAACTTCACTACAGTCACTACAACACGGCCTGCAGCAACAGAAACGCGGAATCTGGATGAACCTAGCCTTGAAGATGACCGGAGACAAACTGACCAACCAAACTACCGAGGTACCAAAATGTTACGACGGGCAGAGCACCTTTTTGAAGTGGTGGTGAGCGCATCGCGCCGGACCCGCCGCAACCGCAAAGCTAGGCTAGCCGGCACCGGGGGACGCCATCAGCTACCCCTGGCCCGCCGTCCGCCAGCGTGCGACGGTCCACAAAATCGTCTCGATACTGAAAGAGGGTGGAGAGGGCGGGAGCTTAAAAGGCCGGGCGACGTCGAACCGTAAGCAGCTTCGGCATCGACGTTCGCCGGCTTGTCCTTACACACACTTGGAAAGTGTTTTCTGCACTCGCGGACAGATGCACTTAAAGTACATACTCTAACTGCACTTGCACAAGCCAGCCCACTACAACGTGTGATGAGTCATGGGGGTCGAGCCATCATGCATGTCAGATTGTGGCAAACGTGCAAAATGATTGCAACATGCTCTGCGGTAACTGCGAAACTAATAGTGCACTAGCCCATCTAGCCCACCACCATCCCCTACAACCTCCGGGCTGGTACTAGCTAGAGTAGTCGTACTAGCCCAGTAACGACAGCGAGCTAACGAGCAGTAGCGTGCAACGACTCTCCTTTTTCGTGGATGTGGCATAAATCCCAGTTAGCCTGGAGATTGTCGCTAGCCGCTAGCCTTTGGCTAGCCCTCCCCAGGGTGGGTTGGGTGGGTATTTCAAAATTACCCCCCAAGCGGGGGACTTTATCCAGAATGGCCACGGAAATGTACAGTGTTCCTCGCCATTCCAAGTCATGCTATCCCTGTCTTGCAGACTGACACCTAGCAGCAAGAACAATAGATAGCAGTAGAAACTTCGTTTCTATCCGAAACACCTGCGATGGTTTCGGTGGGAAGATTATCGGGCTAGCACACATAGTCGTATCTCGTACCTCAACACGAGGTACGTGCACTAGCCCATCTAGCCCACCACCATCCCCTACAACCTCCGGGTTGGTACTAGCTAGAGTAGTCGTACGAGCCGAGTAACGACAGCGAGCTAACAAGCAGTAGCGTGCAACGACTCTCGGAGAGTCTCCTTTTTCATGGATGTGACATAAATCCCAGTTAGCCTGGAGACTGTCGCAGGCTAGCCCTCCCCAAGCGAAGCCACTCAAGCTACCAGGGATCTAGCCTTCGGACCTTACGGCCAACATGCGACACCCTCGCCGGTGCCTCTCGCTTTCGCACCCCTAGCTCCTTGTAGAAGCTATCGGAGTGCGCGAGTAGCCGGTCCAGCATCCTCCAACGGAGTTCCTCCCCCTTGAGGGCTATCCTCAAGCCGGGGTCGAAACACTTGAACTCCTCGTTGGTGAGGTCGTCCGCTAGCTGGTTGAGATCTCTCGGTATCCACTGTAGCTGTAGCTTACAGTTCCTGTGGGATAGCTCTTCGGCCGTCTCCATCAAAATTAGCATGGAAGGATACTTTGTCGTCATGGCCTTCTTCAAGAGGGACTCTTTTTGCTTATTGAGGTCTCGCGCAGCACACTAGAATCATGCTACGTGTCTTGTCGTCCGCACACCTTGTTCGAGGCACTAGCAACTGTACAACTAGTGCACACAAAACACTGCACAGTGATGCCGGCTGCTGCGGTAGCCAAAGGTCCGACACAGCAAACTTCGGCACTCTGGTGAGGACATGTGAAAGTCTAAACCCTTATACCAGTATACTTCTTATAATCACGGCACGAGCTTCAGATTCTTTTCCAGTCTAAGCTCCACTGTTGGGCCGTGCTTGAGCCTTGGTTTGACCTGCGGTGAAACACTGGATTCCTGTATGTTTCTGTACGTAAGGGAAAATTGAACTATTTAACTATCTGTTACGCCCTCATCGCATACACAGCTTTGTCGTGTAATGCGATCATTGTGAAACTTTTCCTACATCCACCACGGTTTTCGCACGCTCCTGTGAGCTTTCTTCACTTCTCGCACGCTTCATCTTTTGAGCAGTTTAAACCGTCTTTGACTTCTTCCTTCTTCTTCCTTGTGTGCTTGTTGTGGATGTCGTTGGATTCTAGTCCTGTAAACGGAAAACTGTTAAACTGACCATTGTTTTACAACAATCGCACCTGCCAACTACAAACTCAGGCGCTCTCACTCTTTTCCATCTCGCGGTACACGAAGTGGTTTGTTCGGCATAGCTCTTTTCAGAGTCTTTGCAAAAGAACTTTGGCCTTATAAGCCCCGTACAGAAGGCTTTTCTTTAAACACGATCGTTGTGCTTTGTCGTGGGACTTCAGCTTTTGCTGTTGATGGCGTTGGACGCCTTTCCGTGAAATTCCGTTCTTTTCTTGGAATCCACTTACAGCATAGCTTCCCTTTTTCACATACAAGGATAGGCTTACTGCCCCTTCTTGCATGGATTGTGAAAAACATGCATCGGCGTTGTTTATACACCTGCCTTTACGGTGTTTGGCTTGGGCCTTTTTATCGCCCTCACTCAACTTGGTCCTTTAAACCGAGGATGTCTAGTGTAAATCCTCTTGGTCCTTCATCTTCTTCACAGCTTCCTCTTGCTCGAAGCTGGAATCACGCTTCCTCTTCTTCTTGGTGTCTTTGTCCTTGCTGTCTTTGGCCTTATCAGCCTTCTTCTTCTTCTGTTCATCCTTCTCTTCATCCTTTTTCTTTTCAGCTGTTGCCTTACTCGGCTTCATCTTTTCTTCTCCCCAACTGTTCTGTGGCGGGTAACCACTTGCCTTTTCAGCTTCCTTCATCTCTTGGAGTTCATCAGCAAATTTGCTGGGTTCACTTCGGATGTAAGCTTCAGCTTCGCTTCGGAAAAAACAAATGTCTGGACTGTGCTTTCCCCAACCTTTGAATGGGGGTTCTTTGTTTCTGCAATAGGTATTAACGATCCAACAATACTTGCAAAAGATCTTTCTTGCTTCGTCATCTTTCCTTGGCTTCCACGCATCCGGGCAATATCGGTCGATGGCCTTGAACATCTCTTTGCACTCTGGTGCTTTGTGACCATCATTCCGCTTACAGTAAAAACAGGTAAGCTGTCTTCCTCCATACTTGAGCCACTTTTCATTTACACTCTTCAGCTTTTCAGCTGGCGGCTCTCCTTCAGGTTCATTCGGCTTCATCTGCCCGATATCCACCTTCTTTTCCTTTTCTATCTCCTCCAAGGGAATATCCTTCAGCTTCTCCTTCAACTTCTCCTTCAACGCTAACTGCTTTTGCAGTGTGTCTGCAGCTTTGAGCTCTTCATCTTCTCTGCTGCTCTTCTTGAACTGTTCAGGCAACTTCTTCGGTCGAGGTTTCATCGGTGTTGACCGAAGGTACCGATGGCGTCGCGGGGTTTGAACTCTGACCTCCTTCTCTCTTCCGCTTAAGGTTCGCCATCAGTTGGGCCAATGCTGCCCTTTCTTTCGCTTGCTGGTCTTCCGGTTGCTTGTATAGGTCCAAATCGAATTCTTCACTCACAGTCTTCAACAACTTTTCAGCTGTTTGAACCATTTCACCAAATGCTTGCAGTGCTTCTCTTGCAATCGATGCTCTTTCAACTTCAGCACGTGCACTCGCAACATCTTCTTCCTTTTCTCTGACAACTTTCGCCTTTTCCTCCAATCGGTCTTCCATCTCTTTCTTCAACTCCTTGGCAAACTTGTCCAGGTCCTTTTGAGCTTTCTTGAACTCCTTGTCTGCATTTGCTTCATCTTCCATCAAGATCGATATGCTTCCACCAAACTCACCAACTTCTCCATCGAGCTTGGCAAGCAATTCGCTTGTCTTGATTCCAAAGCCCTTCGGCAATTTTCCGACTGGCTTACGGAGAATCTCAGACCACTTGACGAATTCGCGTTCGAGGTCTTCACTTGGCAGGTTCCTTTGGATGCTTCGCAGATTGACATTCTCTGATAGAGTCTGCCAAATTCCCATTTCATCCACATTGAACTCGGCCTTCAAAGCCTTCCTTGCTCTTTCTTCTCGCTTATCCTCTTCACCTGAGGACTCAACCACTTCCTTTTCTGGGTCTGGCTTGTCCTCCTTGATCTCTTCCTTCTCGTCTTTCTTCTCTTCCTTCTCCACTTCTGCTTCACTTGCGACTTGGTTCGCCGCTGATACTATGCTTCGTCTCCTTTCCGTAGCTTGTTCTCTTGCCTTCTTAAGCTCTTCCAAACGCTGGTCCATAACTTTGCCTTGAGCGAGGATTTCTGCCCTGCTTTCTTCCGATAAGACGATCTTCCCTGACGCTAGGGCTTCATCTTTCTCCTTCATCAGCTCTTCGGCTGTCTTCTTGAGACTCTCCACGACTTCGTCCTTTTTACTTTTCTTGTCCTTCTTCGCCTTTTCATTTTCATCATCTTCTACTGTTTCACTTTCTCCTTGCTCCTCATTTTCTTCATCGGATTCTGGATCGGGCGCAGCTTCACCTTCTTCTTTCTTCTTTGGGTTCTTCTCCTCTTTGTCTGGGTTTTCACTTGTGGCTTTGTCTTCTCTCTTCTCGTTCAACTT